CCTCTTACCATTTACCCAGAATACCATAAACATCTTTTGCCAATTGGCTTCGACGGTGTTGAGGGAGGCGAGCCATTTGATGCCCAGTACCATATCAGCACCTCCCAGAGAAAAGGGGAAAAAATCATCCTTAATAGTAAGGCTTTGGACCTGTACCTCCATCTGTTTGCAAATAGAATTGCAAGAAACCACATTTCCATTCCCTATCTGCACTCCAAAAGGACGAATGTGCTCCACAGGGAGTTGTAACTCAGTCACAACCCTATCTGAAATAAAGTTGTGAGTGGAGCCACTGTCGACCAGTATAAGGATGCTCTTAGATTTTAGTAAACCTTGAAGCTTCATGGTAGCCGAAGAAGAACTTCCTAGGATAGCATGCAAAGAGATCTCAGCATGATCAGGGTGGGTATCTTGAGTCACGTCCATTTCTCCCGATTCAAGATTCTCTGGTTCTTCGCAAATTTCCATGAGTCTCAACGAGGAGGTTTTGCATTTATGTCCCGGAAAAAACTTCTCTCCACAGCGAAAACATTGCCCCTTATCACGTCTCAACTGCTTTTCAGTTTCTGAGAGAGAGGAACCGTGGGTAACCGCCAAGTTAGTGCTTCCATAAGGCAAAGGTAATGGTTTATTACTGGGTAGTGGGGTTGCAGAGGAAGGTAACTGCCTTTGACCCTCAAAATTTTTATTTTCCTTAAATCCAGATATTGTTCCACTGCCACGTGTCAATATATATCGTTGATTGTTTCTGCTAGACTGTTGCGCCATCAGTTTTGCTTCAATTTCAATGGCGATACTTGCAGCCTTGTAAACGGTACGAGGCTTCTGCATCTTCACATCTGCTTGTAATTCCTCTCTTAATCCGTTAATAAAGACTCCCACTAGACAATGCTCTGGCCAACCATGAACTCTAGAGGAGCGACGAACAAACTCTTGCCTATACTCCTGCACAGTACCCACTTGTTTAATACTGCAAAGATAGACGTCCGGGTTTTGGAATTCAGCAGGACCGAAATGTTCTTGAAAAATCTGAATGAGTTCCTCCCAATATCTGATAGTTCTGCCCGAACTTACCCATGTGAATACATCCAATGCATCACCTTCTAAATTCATTGCCGCAACTTCCACCTTCAAATCTTCAGGTGTTTGATAGTAACGAAAATACTTTTCTGCCTTCATCACCCAACCTCTAGGATCTCCTCCTTCAAACCTTGGAAAATCAACCTTTGAGTGAGGTCGTCTTGAAGGAGTCTTACTCCACCAGGGGCTGTCATGATCATTTTCTTCAAATTGAGTCTGAAATGGTTTGGTGGTTTCTGATTCAATCGCCTGCTTTTTCATTTCAGAAAGATCAACATCCAATTGGTTCAACCTGTAAACTATAGTGGAAAGTTGCTGACAGAGTTGTTCTGGTGATAATTGGTTTGTGGGGTCACTGTTTGACTGAGGATGATGGGACGTTTCAGTATTGGGGTTTGGTAAAAGTGGAGGGTTGGAGTTGTTGGAAGAATTGGACGAATTGCGTGTGTTAACCATTGGGCCCTATGGATCAGAGGCTCTGATACCAAATTGATAGGTTCATGAATCAATTTATCGGGAAAGAAGTAGAAGAGGAAAAGACAAGATAAGGAAGAGACAAATTAGAGGGATAGATAGAAGAAAAGGAACGAAAGAAGGGAAGAGGGGAAAGGACTAGAACCAGAATCTGAGTTCTAGGGAACACAAGTTTGACTGAATAATACTGCATAACATTACTGCATTTCGGTCTGAGATAAATACATCATACTTCAACTGCTAATAACTACTTAACGCTTGAGATGAAACGGGAAGTAACTAACCTTATCTACTAACATTAAAACTTAATACATAAAACATAAAAGTAACCGACACTAAAAACATAAACCATAACTAACTGCAACGCTTCTTCCTTGAATAAACTAATAGACGTTGCGGCTGGGTCCTATCAGTATGAAGGGAGCATTTTGATTTTTTTAATAATATTTAAAAACTCTTAATTAGACTTGATCTGAAACTAGCATTGAATCCCCTTAACAAAGGAAGGAAATGCCACTACGTACAATGCAATTGCAAGCCGGATAAAGAAACAACCAGAAACCTGCCCCCAAAAAATAATGGGCCAACAAACCATTTTCAATGAGTCTTGCATGTTTAATCGAGCCTATAAGCTTAGTGGGGGCAAGAGGTTACTGTACATGATGCTATGTAATTTCCCTTGCAGGAAGTATAATCTGCTGTGAAGATTTTCTGAAGCAAATCCGTATGCAATTATATCCTCAGATCTCCGACAGCACCCATTCAGCATCATTTAGATATGAAGCCATATAAAGCACTAAGCCATAGCTGACTGGATTGAAAAATTGCAATATGCAGTAATGCAATAGCATACCTGCTTGTAAATCAACTTCTGATTCATGGGAACTCATGTACAACTCTGGGGAAGGGAAAAGCTTTTGCTGTCGTGATAGTTCATCATATTTTGCTTTTTTAGTTTCCCAGAATCTTCCTACCTAAATAATAAGAGACTAATCTCTCAAGATACTGTCAGACACCGTAACGGAGACTCCTCCCAATAATATTTTTCCTTATATATATCACTTTAAATATTAAATCTGGAACATGATGCTTAAGATACCCAAATTCCTTCCATTTGGACCAAGTTGGTGAGGTAGCATCATATTTCAAGACACTCAAATAGTTCTTGAAGCACGACGCAAGGATGAACACACTAACCAAAGGTGCACCAGCATAAAAAATGGAAGCTTGTGTACTGATAAATGCATATCCCAAATCTTCACGATGGCCTTCCATATCATGTATATCGGGTTGGCAATCAATTTCAGAAGTTTAGGTGGGAAAAAACATGCATCTGTAAAGACCAATGAGACTGACAGACAGGTGGGAAAGCAACTGCATAATGATGACCAAAATCCCATGGTTTATGTTCATGCAAGGTTGGACATGATATGCTGTTTAATTTGAGATTATAACATGTTAAGTAATTAGACTTATAATAATACTTGTTCCAGAAACCATGGTCTGCAATTACTGACAGCTACATATCAACAACCACTAACAAATCAAAAGCATGCCAATTTTAATAATAATTATATTCTGATTTGGTACGTAATTGACAAGAAAAATATGTGCTGCTTACTGACTTCTGTATTTAACCGTAGCAAAAAAAAAAAAAAAAGGACATATGAATCTAGTGGAAAACCAAAGGCGATGACCAGTGGGTAATAACAAAAAAAAAAACTGTTTCAGTATATGAAGTCGATGTTCTTTTCTATCTGCATGCTGATTAAAAAATTAACACGTGTGTTCTTCAGAAAACACTTACTTTCTTGAGCATGCATTACACTTATTTTAAGGAATACTATGGTCTCATAATGTCCGTAGACAAGCAAAGGCATTAGCTATTTAGCTGTAAATCATACCTTCACAGTTAATATTCAGTCACACTGGTCTAAAATACCTAAACATTGATTGTAGTTGATATAGCCATTACATTAGACGTCAATGGATTGTAAAAATACATTAAGCTTGGCCATCGAATACATGACTTTGGATAAAAATCGAAAACCAAAAGCCTATTTCTTGGCAGAAACATTCCCTATATGTGATGGCCATAAACATGCATAACCCAAACAATTATGCATCCTACACTATGACCATACCTTGCTGCCTATTCACCTCAGCATAGTTGACCAGAGTCACGAGTGTATGCATCTTTTTTAGAAGAAGATAACTCTTCCAAGCCTCTTCAGCTGAGTCTCCATAAAGGACGCCTGAGCCTGTCTCTCCTGAAATAAGCCAACATCAGCGTTAAGTACACAAGCATATCATGTATATAAGTAAATAGATGGTCAACATGAGATTAGCTCACTGAGTGTCTCTTATGACAAAGGTCAACAGATATGTGACCATCCCCTTCTGCCTTCCCCATTTACCCTTCTCGATACTCATTAGCGGACCATCGACATCTGGTGAAAAAACAAATAATAATAACACAGTTATGTAGCAAAATATGATACGTGTTTGAAGTTTGCGGGTGTGACGAATAACATGTTCTACACTTACCTCTGACTTTGCAACCAGAAGAAGATTCCCTGCTGATAGCGTTGACAAACAGTGTTTGAAGTAGCAGGCAGGAACACAGGAAATTACGCTTCTGGACCAATGTGCTATGAAGAAGTACGGTGCTTCTGATGAATGTCCTCACCACCAACACCCGCGGTGATGTATTGGATGATAAACATTTCCCCTTGAGAAGGACGTTAAAGAAATGATTTATCAGCCTATCCCCATCAATCCTAAGTAGCATCCTAGTATGCCTCATAGAAAGGATAAAGAGAAGCTTATCCACATGTGCAGAAAACTGATAAAAAAACCAATACGCATGAATCATAAACGAAAGTGGCAGACATCCTCGTCCAATACTATCATATCGAGAGATCAGCCTCTTGGGGGAATCCAAAGTCCCTCTCAGTTACATGGTACTCAGACCTCATGAACAGGCGGTCTACCTTCACAACCACTTGCCAATTCTCTGCAGAAGGGGCAACTTCATCGAGTCTGTCATGCTCAAAAGCCATGAGAGGTTAGATAGAGGATGGAGATGAATGCAGTGGAAGGAAGGAGACATGAGAGAAGATATTACGGTTATGAATGAATTAGGAGGCTCTCACCGTTATATAATACTTGGGACTGAGAAAGCGATAAAAAAGGCAACCGGAAACCCTTTAGACACGTAACCTTTGCATAGACTTTCCTAACACATCAATGCTCCAAGCCGGTTTATATGAACAGTAACATTGTGAGGGGAGCCGATATGCATAGGTGGCTGGCCTGATTACTTTATATCATACATGTTTAGGTTATCTAGATATAGATTTAAATTTTAATATTTTAAATAAATTTAATTAAAATTTTCGCTTAACTTTTTGACCGGAGTTTTACTTTCGCCCGGACTTTTGCTTTCGCAGCTTTGCCCCTTCCCAAGCCCTAAGCACCGCAAAAAGTCTCGAAAACAAGCATTTGGGTTTGAACTGCTCTCCATAATGCGGCTAAATCTCCTTCATCCCAGGAACCGGCTCTCCATCACTCCATGGCTGGAAAGTGGTGTCCTTTCCTTCTCCTTGTGCCCAGTTTCGGCAAACCAAACGGCTTCTTACAACAGCAGAACAGGAGAAGGTCGGGAAACTACGGAACATCCCACCGTATTGGAGAAATCGGCGATGTTCGGAAAGTGTCTACTTATGGACGGAAAAATAGCCGAAAACAAGGTAGTTTCACCCTTGTCCTTCCAAGTGGTGCTCAGCCTCCTTGCCGCTGGCTCCGGCGGTTCCACCCTCCGTCAGCTTCTCAAATTCTTCAACACCGATTCTGTCGATCGCCTCAATCACTTAGCCTCCCAAATTTCCGACGTCATCTGTGCCGATGGTGATCCCGCCGTCGGCCCTCGTATGCGTTGCGCCAATGCCTTGTGGCATAATCAACCCCTTACTCTCAAGCCCTCTTTTAAAGAGATTCTCAACTCTGATTATAAAACCGCTCTGAACCCAGTGGACTTTCAGACCAAGGTAATTTTTTTTTACTCAATATCTTTAATTAACTCAAATTTAAATGTTACATTAGTCATAACATTGTCAGGTTCTATTCCCTTTGGTTGACTCCTGTGTGCCATGCTCTCTATCTCTGCATCAACTTCATTGAGTTTCAACTCCAAATTATCCCCTCTCCTTCTCTCCTTGTTTTGTCTCCTAAATCATCTCATTAGTTCTTATATTGATTGATGCATGATATGTGCAGCCCGTTTATATTCTTCTTAAATGATTATAACCGTTGTAAATTGTAAATGTGGAGTGGCACGAGAGGTGCTTGTGAGCTAGGTTCAAATACAAGGATTTCATGTGTGTCCACTTGTTAACCTCTGTTGGAGTATATGTTTCTTTTAATCTTATATATCTAAGATAAGGAAGGAAATTAAAGGGAATCAAGAACATGCAACAACTTATTGTTCTCTTGAAGTGCTTATGAAATGGCTATTTTGTGCAGGCTCTTGATGTGAGGCAAAATATTAATTCCTGGGTGGAAAATGAGACAAATGGCCTGGTTAAAACCTTATTCGTGAGGAGTCTCTCAACAACTCAGTCCAGCTCGTCTTTACAAATGCACTCTACTTCAAAGGAGCATGGGATGAGGACAAAGATCGTTTCGAAAGCTTTGAGGACATTGAAAATGTCGAGATGGCTTCCTTCATGACTGCCAAGAGGAATGAATATGGTAAGGATGGTTGTCAATTCCTCAATCAAACATATAAAAAGCAAAGTCAAGATAAGCGCCAAGTCAAGATGCATTTCGTTTATCCGCCTGTAGATACTGAACATGGGCGTAGATACCATGTTACTGAAACCTTAATGAATGTATGTGGCTGCATGACCCCAAAATTTGATAATTCTTCTGAGGTGGAGGCTTCCCATGTGCTGAGGCAACTTGGGGTAACATCGCCATTCTCTAAAGGAGAGTTGACAGAAATGTTTAGTTCTTTTGGTTGTCGAAGGTTATATGTTTCCAACATATTTCAGAAGTCATTCATCGAAATAAACGAACAAGGGACCCAAGCTGCAACAGCCACCGCTGCAATAGTAATGTCTGGGTGTCCACCACGTTTGCCGCGTCTACCTAGAATAAAAATACGCTCTAAAGGTTACATCCCAACCCTCCTTCATGTTGGGAGCCTAGCAGGGTTTGGAGATATTCTCATGGCCAGAACAGAGTTGGCAATTAGGATGACGCTCAGTCCTTTCCCAAGGTAGTGTTCCTATGTTATGTGTCATCGTTATAATAAGTTGTAATTTATAACTTTTGGTCTCTCAAATTTATCCTTATTTTGGTTTTAGTCCCTCAAATTTCAAACTATAGGTTTTGGTTTTTTTAGAGGCAAAATGGTCCAAGTTTTTATTGGGTTATAAGGACTAATATTTTAAATGAAAAGAAACTTGAGTGACGAAAACCTGTAGTTTAAAACTTAGAGGAACTAAAACCAAAATGTAGACAAATATGAAGGACCAAAATTTATATTAACTCTTAAATTTAAATGTTTGACTCTCCTAAGTAGTATTTTTATTATTTTTCTGACTCTCCTTAAGTCGTATTTTTATTATTTTTCTATGACAGAGAATAAATCACATGACTTTACCGTTTAATATGATTCATTCATTGGTAGTTTTTGCATGTGAATAGTTCTAAGAATGCATAGATGATAACATTTTTTAAGCGTCGGCAATTTGAAGAATGAAGGAGTAGCAACTTCGCCTTCGTTATGTTGCCATAGCCCTTCCATGAGAAAATACCGTAAACCAACATTTTCTGCATCCCACAAATTTAACAGATTGACATGAGCAAGAAGCAATCACAAATGCACAAGACAGGCGACAAGGTAAATCAATCCATGTCAGGTAAAATTCACAATCACAAAGGTAATCAACACGTGTCATGTGAAATTCATAATTATGATAACATTTTTAGAAAAATTAACTTTTTAGTCTTTTAAACTCAATCTCAAGTATGGTTTGATAAAGTTCAGTTCTTAAATTTTTGACTCACTTGTCTGTCCTTAACTTTTGAATCACTTGTATTTTTATCCTTTATCATCCATAAATCAAAGCCAGTCATCATTGAGTCATCCTAGTTGGCAAAATTATATGATGAATGAGCAAGGGCGGAAAAAAAAAGAAGGGAAAGCAGAGAATGAGATCGAAGAAGGCAAACCTCAAATTAAAAGGGTGTTTAGAAGCACTTAAAAGTATTTTTCAGAAGTACTTTTTCGCAAAACAAAATAAATTTTTTCACATATTTATTTTGTATACCGTAAAAATACTTTTAAAACCATAATTTAATTTCTACCCAAAGATCCAATGAGGAAAATAAAGGACGAGAATAAACTCCAACTTCATTTTGAGGACGAGATAAATAATTACATTTTGACCTGGACATCTATCCCTAATGCTATTAATACACACACACGCACGGACGCACGTTCTCAATTTGGGATATTTTGCCCGCCTCGTAGAATGTTAATTTTCAGCATACTAAACTTGAAGGTTCACGTCATCATTTACTCAACTCCTTTGCGGCTTGGAGATACAAGTTTTCTTGAATTTTTCTTGAAGCAATTCAAATCAGAAGTGTATATGCTTTTAATAGAAAATCTTGAGTCATATAAACCTAAGTGAAAATAATGTGAAAAGTTAATTAAAAGAGGTGCAATTTTGTATATTGTAATTTGAATTATTTATTTCATATTCTCCTCATTGTTATAATTATTATAGCATTATTGTAATTTGCATTATCATTATCTTCATTGGTGATAAGTAATACTACCTCCGGTCCTAATTATAAGACCCAATTGACTTATTTGAAGAGATTAAGGAAGTAAGTTAAGTTAGTTATTTGTAATAAATAAGTGTTGTCCTTCCTAAAATATCCTTGCTAATTAAGTATATTGGCTAGAACTATCATTATTAGAAGGATTATCTTGGAAAAAATGCATAAATATGAGAGACAAAATGGATTGGGGTCTTATAATTAGGACCAAACAAAAAGTCAAATGGGGTCTTATAATAAGGACCGGAGGTAGTATTGTAATTAAATTTTATTGAAATTAAATCAAATTAGTTAAGTATACAAAATTTGTTTTGCATAAAAATATATTAGATATGATAGAAGGAAGTAAATTCTCTCCCGAGAAGTAAATGCTAGTTTTTTTTTTTAAAAAAAAACATATAGGAAGACTTTCTCTTGTCTATTCTCATTTCTCTATACTTCTACTGCTTTCCAAGTCAGTTTTATAACATAAGATAAATTATTACATTGTTTATTGGAAAATGACACATAAAGAAACTAAAATTTATAATATTCTAATTCAGACACTTAAAATTTTAAAATATCAAGAAAAAAAGTGATGCTTGATCTACCAATTAATATGGTATTTTGCAAATGTCATTGCTTGATTGGTTTTGTTTCCTTGTGCTCCCTACCAAATGGTAGCAACCAAATCAATAATGCATTATTACCTTTATGTTTATTAATTTTCAAATGTTAGTTAAGATAAAATGAGTAACATAGAGATATCTTCCTTATGGGAATTAAACATGCCCACCCGCCCTGTTGTAATAGCAACAATAACACGTCTTATCTTACTAAATGGAGTCAGCTATATAGATTGCATGATATTATTGTACTTTATCAACATCTAAGAGCCTGTTTGGTTGAATTACATTACGGCTCTGTAATGGTAATCCAGTGGTAATTCAAATCCCATTACCATGAGGTATGCGTTTGGTTGGACTTTTAATGATGCAGTGGTAATAATGATTGCATAAAATTTGGTAATGAGGCTTCATAGACTTCCCCGTATGAATCCTCATTACTGCCCTATACCATCACCTCATGTCAAAAATACCCTTAGTACGTTCTTTGATCCTCATCGACTTTCCTTCCTCTTTCGGCCAAATCCACTCTATCATTAACAACACCACTACTGGTGACACCTCTTGCTCTAATCCACCTCCTATCTCACTAACATCAAACCCCCCGACCTGGATTGGACACTCTTGTTCCATCATCGAACTGCCATTCCCTTCCTTGAATGATCTATGAGAAGCAACAATCTACTGTCACTAATCAAATTATTGAGTTCAACAATGATCGCGAGTTTTGTAAATGATTTTCAAAGAGCAACAGTCACCCTGCTTGTAATTTTTTTGGGCCTTCCCATCCCAAAATGCAAATTTGTGATTTCATTTGTTCTAAATGTTGCATCCATTTACTGTCAAAGAGTCAGTGTAAGGTTGATGATGATTTTGTTTTGATCTTTGACAAGACCCATGTGTGGGTGGACCATGCTTTTCAATTTGTCTATATCTACGGTGGGTTGAGAGATATGGTTCATTGCTCCATGAATGCCTTTTTTTGTTCTACGCTTTGAAAATGTTCTAAATGGGTTGTGTGTGTGTGTGTGTGTTTGTGTGAGATTTATGTTTTGTTTAATCTATTTTCAAATCATGGTAATTGATTTGTGTTGGTTTTGATTTGCTGATTTGAAGTTACCATTTCCAGAGAGGAAGGAAAGGACGACTTTGGGAGAAAAGGGAGGAGAGAGATTTTATTTTCCGGATGGGGCTATTTTGGTCCTTGTATTTTTATATCTATTTAATTAAATATAAAACTCTTCTTTCCTAATTAATATACCAAACAAACTTGTGGTAATAAATATTACATTGCATCGCATGACATCTGATTGCATCGCATTGTCAGGCTGGTATGTAATCGAACCAAACGGATCCTAAGTCTTTAGATACATTGTTAACTAGAAGGTCTCATTTAATAATTTTATTAAGCGTTCTCCTCACACAAGCCCTTTTACCTAAGTAAAATTTAAGATAAGGTTTTATCAAATTAATATTTGCCCTAGTGAAAAGTGAAAACGATACATATGCATATTTATATAGAGTAACTTCTATTAAATTATGTCACTCGTTAATTGAAAATGATTTAACTCATTTGTCAAACTCCAAGCCATTCATCAGGCGTCAATTTCTAAAATTGGCATAAGATTCTACATATCAAAAGCCTCAATGTGTGAAGTCAACTTGATGATATGCTGACAAACAAAATCAAATCCTTTAGAGTAATCGAATAAAGTTAATCGAATTTAATAAAGCATCGGGATCCTCTTAAGCGTTGAATTTTCGTATGCACAACTAAATATGAGTCACTCTTGGTTGTGTTTATTGGTTGGGCACTTTGATTATGATGAGTAAGTTGTGAATATTGAGATGCGGGGTGGGCTTCTTTTATTGGCATTTGGTGTGATTAAATCATTAGGTCCCCTTGTTACGGAGCTGATTAACTCTTGTGGTGCTAATTAGATTATGTTGTTAATTATGCAACACATGGATTTCATTGAACTACCAATTTGCCACAGCACCCTACTAAGTACTTCATCAGTTTCATCATGTAAGTCACTTTAACTAATTCATCAATATAAAAAAAGGATAGTTAACTCATTAAAACTATCCCAATTTGAAAATTTTTTCTAACTTTACCCATATTAAACGAGGTAATGAATGAGAGAAAAAAATACAATGAGTTACTCCTCTGATCCTATTTATAAGTCACTTCTAACATGTTTCACACAGATCAAGAAAAACCTTAAACTTCATTAACTCTCATTTAAAATTTAATGACTTTTTAACTTTATCTCTATTTAATATACATTATACCTCATATCAACAAAGTCAACACAATAATAAATGAGGGTAAAATTATACATTTATATAAAAAATTTCTCTCAATACCCTATAAATAGGACCAAAAAATATTTTCTCTCTACCCTATATAGGACTAGAAGAGTATATTGTAGCATTAATTGTAGGAATAAAATTAACAAATAAGCATTAATTACTCACTAAGTGACTTATATTTTGAATCAAGTCATTCTTCTAGAAGCTACTTAAATTATGAAATGAGGAAGGGGGAGTATATGCACATGGGAGGCTTTGTTTTTTTAATATATATATATATATATAAATATATAACTCAGAGTATTGTCAAGTATTTTAAATTTGAAATTAATTTTTATCGGAACATAGAGATATATAGGAGGCTTTTACTGAGCTTGAAACAACGTTCACCCACTACCACCCGCCGACCCAACTTTTTCATCTATTCATAGATTCAGCCGCACTTGTCGCCTTCCTGGGCCACAAATATGAAATATCTCCTCCATGCCCCCACCTCGTCTTTTGCTTCTATTTAATTTCATGGCGTAACTAATCATCATTTCTTTATCAAAATTCTTAAGAAAATGTACACAAATTAAATAATCCAATTGAAATTGCTTTTAGAATTTTGGCCTCCCCCTAAGGATTCAGAAGCTCTCACCCGAACAGATCCGAGGCCTGGCCGAGCTCAGCCAAACACGCCCGCATCAGATTCAAACAATTTCCAGTCTAGCAGGGCTCCCTACGTAAATGTTATTTTCCCATCATGCATTTTCAACACATTCCAATTTCAAGAATTCAGTTAATGCACAGTCAAGTTTTAGTGAATGGATATTAAATTATATATCTAATAATATTATTGTACGCATTTTTTTATTTTCTTAAAAAAATGTTTTTATGCTATTCATCTGTGCGTGTGTGTGGGGCAAGCAAGGCAAAGGGACGTTACGGCAGAAACGCGATGACATTTCACCGTCGCAACATGACACTGTGGACCAAAGCATTTTGCACAATATCTATCCGGTGGTCATTCGCGTTCGAATTCGATTCACCGGGAACGGACTCCGACACGGTGCTCAGAACCACCGGAGACGGCTTGGCATCGGCGCGGCAGACGGGACAATTCAGGCGAGAGAAGAGCCACATATCTATGCAAGGAACATGAAAAGAGTGCGAGCACTCCGGCAATGTTCTCACCTCTTCGCCTTCCTCGAAATCTCCCAAGCAAACCGCACAGGTCACCTCGCGAGCACCTTCCAAGTCATTATCGTCGATCTTCTTCTCGTACTTGTGTGCCGGAATTAGCTCCGCCAACGAACTCTCGTCGATGATGCTCGAAGCCGGCGGAGTTACTCCGGTGGGGGGAGTCGGCTGGCCAGAGTTAGGGTCTGTCAGTTGGTGGCCGCAGAAGCAAACAGCAAGTAGATGGTACATTGTGACGACGAAGGCGGCGGAGCCCACGGCGATGAGTACGACGGAGACGTTGGTGCTGAAGAGAGGAGGACCATCGTCGGCCATGGATTATGAGATGTGAGAGAGAGCGGTGGTATTGGATTGAGAGGGATGAGATTTGAAGATATAAAGCAGAGGAAGCCGGCCCGGGGAATTCAGCAAGACTGTCGTTATAGTCTCTTTGGTTCTGATGTTAACGTTCATTGTTTAATATATTTTTTTTTTTTAATGTGTAAATTTATCTCCTAAGTTTTTATTTAAGAGTGTTAGACTAAGAGTTTTGTTAGCGTCAATATGATGACATTGACTGCTGATATTCAGTAAAAGTAATATTATTATGATTTAAAATTATTATTACGACAAATTTACATCTAAAAAAAACTTTTGAATGTGTAATATTTGTAAAAAAAATTTCAGCAAATTTAGATCTTAACCTCTTTTTTTTTTAAAAAAAAAATAGTCTTGAAATTTGGAAGAAAAGAAGTAGGAGAGGAAAAAAAAAAAAAAGGTGGGCATAGTGCACTAGTCGGCTGATAATTTTATTCGGAGGAAGTTATGTTTTTATTTTATTTTATTCAATTATATAAATATCAAATTAAATAAAATAAATAACGTCAATGAGTCGCTTTGTCTTTGTTTCAGGCAACACTCAAGAGTGTGAATAGCTCTCGACGTTTCCTCCACGTAAACCAAATGAAATATTCGACATAAAAATAAATAAGCAATTTTATATATAAATCACCCAACCATTTTTTCCCCCCAATGAAGTACTCAACCAACCAATTTAATACTATAAGAAATTAATTATATAAGCCTTATATTTAAAAAAGCCAGAAAAAACTTGACCAATTCCTTGCGTAAAGCCATAGCGCAATCATATTTTGCATGGTCGTTAACAATTGGGACGTCAGATTCTCTCTCCAACTTAAATATGTGCATAATAATATAATATACTTCATTATATATATAAATATATTTTTAAAAAAACAAAACAAAACATGACAAAACAAGGCCTCTAATTTCTTGCACGTGCGAACGTACGAGAGCATCCAGCGAATAAAACTTCTTCCAAGCTTACATCCAATTTTAAAATATAATTACATAATTAAATTCATATATCATATGAAGCATGGTTCTTGTATTTGTGATGTTGCGAAAGAAGAGAAATTAATGGTGACATGACAATAAAAAAACTCAAACATTCAGAGCATACAATACCACAAAAGGTATTTGTTGTAACTTACCCAGCGAAATTTGCTCCTAGTTCATACTCTCTCTTTTGCCATCAATTTATTTAGTTCCTTTATTTTAATAAAATAGTCATAAAATTAGCCTATTTATCAGAACATTGGAGTGATCAATCTGTTGGTTCTTTTTACTGGTGTAATGTGTGTGGCTCAATCTGCAAATAGAAAGGAGAATTTAAGGGTGGCCTGAAGAAGAAATGTGATAGAGATGGAGGGCCATGCCACAAAAAACACAGGTGCTATATATAATTTCATTTGGCTAACACATTCAACCACCACTTTTATGGCTTCCTTCCATTATGAATACCAAATTAACAGATTTGTTAGGTTAAAAGAGGCCCTTCTTCTCTCACAGATCATTCCCGCTACTGAACAAAAGGATATCTGGAGACATAATACTCTCTTACGCGAGATGCTCCATCCCTTGCCAGAATCCCTTCGAGATCTCCGATGATTCTGGCCAACCATATCTCCAGATTCCTCTGTATCTCTTTCAGGTTGTTCCTTATGGAGTCTAATGACCTCTTTGTTCCCCCCAGCTCCTCCCTGTAATAGCTCTTCCCAACTTCACTCTGTAATTCAATCAGCTTCTGCCCCGTTTCAGATGCTCTCTGCTGAAGCCGAAATGCCTCCAACAAAAACTCAGTTTGCCTTTGTGTTCGAAATTCTGAACTCAGTGTCGGTTCACATGGATCGCTTGCCTGCTATGAGACAGACCACATGTCAGGGTAAGTTATGAGATGTCAATGTATTGGCAAGTTGGGGAAAAAAAAGCCCACATGTTAAGTGGTTGTTGCCTCTACCTAGCATGAACTTGGAAGTGAATTTTCTTCAAGACAAGGAAAAACTAGCAAGTGGGATGGATGATAAAGATCTCTCAAGTTTTACAAATTTGGTGCCCATTTGATTTGTGGTCCAATATATATTATAAATGCTTGCACCAAGCACATGGTTTCGGTTCTGTTATGAGTCTTGATCATTAGCAAACTAAGCATCCTTACCTCCTTTTGATGGAAACTGTTGAGAGTCACATGAATTTAACTATACATAAAAGAAACAGATGAGCGGTTGGGGCAATGTGACTCAATCCAGATCTGCTTAGATTTGTGTAAATATGTGCCCATAGAGCATAAATCATATGTATATGTATATATATATCATTACATACAGGAAGGCACACTCCATTAAGCTATGAACAATGTGACTCAGGTTAGACAAGGGCAACACATGGGACCCACAGTCTAGTTTGATATTAACTTGGGTGAACACCATTTTGGGACCATTCATCAGTGATATTAGCTGGTTGACATAACAGACAGCTTATTGTTAGAGCATGACCGAGATTCTTTGTCTTCCTGTCCTGTCCTCCCCAAAGGCACAACTTCTCAAGGACAAGAATTTTATTGCGTGGTTTTTGATACCCATCAGAAGACACAGGGTTCAAAAACCCAAGTGATAAAAGATAATAACTGGAGGGTACAATGTTTCAGAGAAAACACGGAAGAATGATTAGGAGTTTCATAGATGACAAGAAGATAGAAACAAAAGCAACAAAGTTGGAACTTTTTGGTCGTAAAGTTGGAGTTAACTTACTATTCTTCTGCATAAATCATCAATCTTCTCTGAAAGAGCTTGATATCTCTTAGCCTGCTTCCTCATTAAGGTTGGCACCTTCGATAGATCACCCTTACCAATGTTCTCAAGATTTAACAGCTCCTGTTCAAGTAATTTGAGTTTGTTTGAGACTCCAGCTGAATCACCATCTACCTTCCAAGGGGACTCCCTTCTGCGTAAAAGAAGATCATTTGCCCTTCAATTACTGGAAGATTGATAATAAAAGCCTCAAAAGTTATCATCATTTAGACTGTCAATTTACCTTGCCACAAAATGCTTCATATTATACGTTGATTCATGGGTTTCATACTGCACATCCTGCAAGGGTTAACATTCGAAGATCAGAAGTAGTAGTTTATACAACCCAAAAAGAGTATGGCCTTTATTTCTGGCCGAAACATATCTGCGGTGTGAAGTTAATCGAGTTTTTGAGCGTTAACTTTTTACTAGAGATGGGAAAAGCCGTCATTTAGACCTACGAAGCTGTGATTTTTCAAGTAGTTGAAGCAGACTAATACTAACTTCAGGCTAATCTAAGCAATCCAATTGAAGCTGATCATCTCTTGGCGACTCTCAGAAAAGCTACCCTCAAGAACCACCCAAGAAGGTTCCAGGGACTGCAGAAAAGGGGGGAAAACAAAGAGAGGAATGAAACAAGTAGAGGCACCGAATCTCTTCTGTTGAGCTATCAGTTTTATTGGTGATGCAGCTATTCTTGAAGAAATATTTGCACTGGTGAGGGAAGATAAGAGGCTTGTTTTTCTAGTTTGCCCACAAATTCAGTCAAAAAAAAAAAGAAAAAAATGACTTAAGCACTGGCAAAATCATGCCACCAGACAATAAATAAAAATGATATCCATCACTAGATAAAGATGGTCCAGTTAATAACGTTGAGAGCAGAGAAAAGGACTAGCACCCTGTTGCCTGGTGATTTGAAAGTGGGTCATATAATGCATACTAACCTATACACACATCAACAGACAAAGGACAAGTTGCATCAGGAAAGAGGCAGAAAGAGACAAATTAAAAATGGTTGTCCGAGCCCACGAAGATTATTTCCCTCTCAACCCAACCATTTACAAGTTAACAGGGTTAATTTGAACTTCAAAGTGATCAAGGAATCTTGGGCCAGCCATTATTATTCTAAAGCATGAAGCTAGAATAAGTGGTAGGAGGGTCTCACAAGCCAGAATCCCACATCAGAAACAGTAAAGAAAGGATGATTCCTCGATCAACAGCTGAGAAAGTAACCCAATTTCCATAAATTATACTATAAAGTAGCAAATTAAGTTTTAAGGTTTTCTTTTCGCAAGAAACTCAGAAGGAAATGAAACAAAAAGAGAGGGAGAGAGAGAAAATTGCTCAAACCTGCCAGAGTGTGGCTCTTTCTGCCCAAAACTTAGAAGCAGAAGCCAGAAATTCAGAATCAAACCCATTTTCAAGCTGAAGATACCTCTGACTCTGTTCATAGAAAACATCGACTTCCTCAGCATTGCTATTCGTGCCAGGCATGCATTCCTTCGAGTCCCTTTGAAACCACTCTCTACGGTCGTCATCACTGTAGTCCCTGGTCTGACACCCACCCAATTCCTCCCCTTCGTCCTCCCCACCACCTCTCCTCGACATGAAGCTAAGCATCTCGTCCCTTTCTCTTACCTCCCTCTCCAATTCCTCAATGCGAGCCTTCGATTCGGCCTCGTATTTCTGGAATTCCACAACCTTGGTCCTCAAATGCGCGATTTCTTCGGTGGCGGAATCGATTTGGTGAAGCAACCGCTTCTCCTCCGCCTGCCACGCGTTGCGGTGGCTAGCGAAAATCTCAACGACTCTTGCATTGGCCTTGGAATCTTCTTGCCTCCTCGATCTCATTACTCTCAGTTGCTCTTCAGCTTGAAAAAGCTTCAACGAGAGCTCCCTCAGGCGAGATTGCAGGTTTTGGACAAGAGAAAGTGCGTTTCTGGGCAGAAATGCAAGAAAGAGAGAGAAGCTTAGGCCTAAGAAAGAGGTGGTGAGCTTGGAGAGGTCCTCTTGTTGAGGCTGGTCTTCATCGTCTTCCGCCATTGCTTGGCAGTGAGATTTGTGGGAGCTTCAAAGGGTGACAGAAAAAGAAGAGCTTTCTGTGAGTATTTCAAGGAGCGACAGAAAAAGGGGCTCCACTGTAGTATGTGCGTGCTGCATCTGCGTTAAAGAAAGAACAGAACAGTAATTGTCATTTTGCGAACTTTCTTTCTCGGGTAGTTGTGGCGGACACAAAAAGGCCTCGTCTTTAAAGCTTATTTACAGAAATAGGATCCAACCACGCACGTAACTCCATCGCCTTATCATGATTGG